TATTTTGAAAACTGTATTTACATTAAGGGATAATGATCTATTATTTGAATTTTCAATTATTTTATTTTATTTACTTTTATTTTCTATAGTATCTTGCAGAAATGCTAATGCAAGAAACTATACAAGCTATGTAGGCTGCTCTGAAAGTAATGCCTCCTGCTGTTTCCATGGAAAACAACAACATATACAGAGAGCACAATGAGGCAGGGTAAATTCTCAGCTGCAAAACACTACTTTTCAACATAGTCCCCACCATTAACCATGCATTTTTGTCATGCTTATAAAAATCTGCTCCAGTGGAGGTGACCAACTGTTTCTGGCTGCTATGACGGTGTCATTGCTAGGAAAATGTTGCTCATGCAGTCCATCTTTCATCAGTCCAAAGAAATGGAAATCAGAGTGCCCTAATCCAGACTACATGGTGGGTATGATAGGACAGTCCAGCTAAGGCTGGCAATGTGCTCCATGGTCTTCAAATTGATGTGGTGCCTGGTGTTACTGTGTTGCAAGAGAAAGGTTGCCTTCTTAATTGCCCTGAATCTGGAAGTTTGAGCCTTCGGCTCAGTCAGAGTTGTGATGTAGCAGTCAGAATTGATGGTCTGTCTGGGTTCCAGGAAACTCAGAAGGATCACTCTCTTCCTACACCAAAAGACACTGCATATCACTTTACCTGCTGTGGGCTGCATCTTGAACTTCTTCTTTGATGGGGAATTCACATCTTGCCACTTCACATTCCAGCTCATACTCGTAACAGCAGGTCTCATCGCTGGTAATGATGAGACCCTGGAAAATGTCACCTTCAGCCTGATATTGGTTCAGTAGGTTGTGATGAACTTACATATGGTGTTCTTTCTATTCCTGTGTGAGAGTTTGTGGGAGCTGCCTGCCACAAACTGCAGTATTCCAACATTGCCACTCTTGTTTCCAATGAAGCTGGGGGTGAGCCAACATAAAATTGGAAGCATTACTTTTGGGGCAGCCTTTTACTGTGTTAACTACCTCTTAAAGAGATGATTAGTGCTGAAGGGAGAAAATGTAGATATTTGAAACGTAATGAATTTTGATAGAAAGAAACATAATGCAGACTGCAGTCACGCTGCAAAACAAGGATGCTGTGGTGAACTTGGAAGTGAAAAGAGGGTTTTTGTGGTCATCTATGTAAATAAAACCAACCAATCAAAAATAAAAACTGTCACAGAATCCTAGATGTTGCAGTTATGTCTCCATTTGGTTCAAATTGTTCTAAATTAATTAGGTATATTCTCCCTATAGAAAACAGTGTTTTGCTTCTGCAGTTGTTCTAAACTTACTTTGTATGGAATTGGATGGCTTTGTTCTTTAGAGGAGTGTAAGAGAATTTACTTCCACGTAGGATATAGCAATAACTGTGTTTCCTAGATAACACAACAAATGGGGAATATATATATAAGGAATGTACACAAAATTGATTCATTCATGCTTTATAGATCTTTATTTTACTGAAAGCTATAAAACATACTTCGAAAGGGCTTCAGAAACAAAATGACTTTTCTGATATAACATCAGAGTAAGACCTACTATGACAGCTCATAGATAACTGGCAGTACACGTTTGACAAGACCTGATGCACTGCAGATGAGTTTGACATCTGAGATGTGATGACCTCCTGTAAGTGAATAGCTTAGACATTGTAGCTGTATGATGGAGCACAGAAAAGGCTAAAAATGTTTTTATAACATATTGTAAACACAGTTTATGTTTATAAACACAGACTGTATTTAAAGGAATGTTACTAATGCAGATTAAACTGAAATCAGTTTGGTGCAGTAGAAGCAGGTTTTAAAGTCTAATAGAAATGGGAGCGTTTTCATGATGATATCCAGAATTATGTCACTTCCAGACATCTCAGGCTGATGACTTGCCTAGTAGAGTGCTGGAAAATCTTTTTGCTTTTAACCTCTTCTATCACAGCATCCAGAAATTGTATGTTTTGCTGTGGCATAATTTTTGATAATCTGAAGAGCCATTGCTTCAAAATTACTGAAGTTTATGGCATATCTTATGAGTTTCACTAGCAATTATTAGAAAAGAGAAGGGAGTTTACGTCTTGTTTTGTAAGAAACAACTACACTTGTGGTTTGCAAAGGAAATAATGTAATAGCTTTTTTTTTATTTTTTATTTAAATTTTGGACTTTTGGAGGCCATTCCTTGTATGGCTCTATAATGGTTTTTGGATTACCTTACTGAGTGTATAGTTTAAATTTGGAGTTCTTTCTTTAATGGCGCCTGCTGAATTTAAGAATGTAGGAAAAGGCATTGAGTAGGATTTCTTTCTGTGAAGTGGCAATTTCATTAGTTCAGCCCGTGATACGTTTTCTGCTCTTAAAGCGTTTTTAAGCCTGAAATATCCTTAATGTTAACTATTGCAAAATCTGATTCCTCATTTCTGTATCATGACTTCAGTAGCTTCCCATGAACTGAAATGCAAATAAAACATCGTGGGGAACCACTACCTGCTTTCAGTGAAGAAAAGCTCAGTACAGGCTGCACAGTAAAGATTGCACCTATTGGTTTCTTCATTTTTTTCCCCAACTCTTTTCAAAATGAGTATGAATTCAAATATCATTCAACACCTAAAAGTAAGCTATTTTGAACATGTAAAATACTAGTAAGAATTGGGAGCAGCTAAACTGCATAACTGAAATGATTATACAAATAAATCATAGATAATTTAAATGGCACTTTTGTGATTATGTGTATAACAGAGCGTTTTAGAGGGAAAAGGGATTCATCTGGAAATAAATTGGAGTGTGAATCACCTGCTTGAGTTCTCCTGCAGCAACTTGGAATCATTGAGGTTCTACAAAGATAGACCGTTTTTTAGCCTTTTATGTATTTCCAGCAGTGATTTTATGTCTATATATACATCGATGTATGCTTTCCCACTGAAAGACAGATGACATTCTAAATTTTTTAGTTTAGAACAGCAGATCATGTGGCAAGTAGGGAAATACAGAAGGTAATATGGAAGCATGTGGTGTTTTAAAAGAAGCAGTAAGAGCAAAACTCTATCTAGGCCTCACAAATTCCCGCTGATCGATATTTCTATTTTCAGGAGAGAATTTCAGGCTTTTACTGCTCTTGGAAGTTTATGTTGTCTATACTTGATATTTTGGAGCGCTGAACTGCTGTCAGTGAATACTTGGTGTGCATTTTTAATCCATGTCTTATCTTCTATCAGATTTCAAAGCAATATTTTTCCCTTAGTAATGAACAACAGATATCACAAAATCACAGAATATTAGGGATTGGAAGGGACCTTTAATCCCATTTAAATTGGAATGTCCTTTAATCCCAAACTATTTTTTTTTTTTTAATGAGAGTTTTATAAACTCTTTTTTTGTTGTTATTTCAAATTAGAGTTTTATAACCTCTTTTTTTAAATAAAAAATGTAATAATCTTCTATTTTCTTGAGAAATTATATTTCATTGTCTTTACAATACACTTTGCATACATACTCATTTATTCTGATTTTCTGTGTTATCACTCCTTCAATTTCTACCACTATTATTTGTCATCTTCACACCTACTAAGGAGGAGAAAAAACTCTATTTCTGAGGAAGTGCAGTACAAAAGTTGGGTGTTTCCTACCTGTAGTGAAAATTGTGTTGGATATTGGGATTAAGTCCCACAAAGAATGGATAACTCACTTCTGCAGGGAAGAAAGACCTTTCCAGTAAAGCCTGGATCCGTACCAGTGCCATGTATTAAATAAAGTCAACTCATTGCTATCAGTACTTTCTTTTCTTTATTCTGAGCATCATTAGAATCTGAGTAGTCTTCAGCTGATCTCTGTGCATATATGAAAAGATAATTTGTAAATTTTCTTTGTAATGATTTAATTCTTTTCATGCATTAGGGAGGAGCTCGGTCTTTGCTTACTTTGACCTATTTCTCTTTAAAGTTGTTTTTTGCATAAGAATATGCTAGAAATATAGTGGAGGCTACTGATGTTGTTCCAGATAAGACTTGGTTGAGCATCAGAATACTAGTAATTCAAGAGATCAAGATTTCTGCTCATTTCATTTCTGTTGGGCCTTTATGCTGCAACCCATTTCTTTTCAAGTTTGTTCCTATCATGACGGAGATCTTTCCTTTCTAATAACATGGCCTACCTCTGTGCCATTTAGGAACTCCAAATAAGTTGATTTGCTTCAAAATTCCAGAAAGCTACAGAAAATGCTGTCCCTCAGTAAATGGTAGTGCTTCAAGGTGTGTTTTCTTCACATACGTAACTCTGCCAAGCAAATGAGAGTAGAAAGTGGACCAAAAGAGGAGAAATGCAGTAGAACAGTGCTACCAGTCTGGAAAATGAATGCTTAAGAAAAATAAGCTAAGCTTTTTGTGTATGATGACAAAAGGACAAGAAGCAATCCATTCACCAGCATAGCCACAGTGTGTATTTTCTGAACTGGATATCCTTAGGATAGATTATACAATCATAAGGCAAATAAACATGTAGTAAATGTTGTTATCTGACCAAAAAACGTGGCTGTTAGCCCTGACATATGTTTTGGATGTAATGAAGGAAAAACATTCTGGTGCTTTAAATCAGCTTTTATTGAACAGTGTTGCATGTTAGACTATACCCACTTTATAACTTTTTTTGTTGTTAAATATGTACATAAAAGAAAACAAATGTGAAGCACATTACTGTAATTAAGGACTGGAGGGAGCCCGTTGATCCTTATTTGAAACTGCTGATAAATTTAGCTTTACATCATCACTGGATTTCTTCAGATTGAGTAGATAGAAGTCAGTTCAGCTAAGTTCTTTCCCCTGTGGCCTTTGGATTTGCATTTCTGAGGAACACATGTAGTACATTTTCATTATGGTATTGACTGGGAAGAAATCAGTGGGGAAGGGTATGGAAGCAGTGAGAGGGGGAGGAGAGATTCTGTACCTTTTTTACAATCTGAAGCACTGAGTCGAATCCACATGCTTCTTATTTATTCTTAGGTTATCAGAAAAAACAACAGTCGAGTGGTTGCAGCTCTTTGAAGGTAGTGGAGTTCCATACGGTCCAATCAACAATATACAGCAGGTATTCTCGGAGCCTCAGGTTGGTTTTCAACAAGTCTTTTCTATGCATTACTACAATTGTTTCACAAATTCTAAGTAATGATTGCTTTTCCTGTCACTCAGACCTCATTTCAGCTATTTTAAAACGGAATTTGAGACTTTTATTGGGGATTGAGCGTAACACCAATAAGATGTTGTGATAAGAAATAAATACAGATCTCTGAATTATTTACATGCTTGGGAACACAGATGTTTTAAACCATAGGTATTCTATGTCTTGAATGGCACGTCAAAAATGTCTGATAAAAGAAGGAAAGAAACTGTAATATTTAGTAATCGCATTCTGTCAGATACATATTTTCTCTTTTCTGCACATTTCCTCTGAATATCTATTCAGAAAAGTACCTTTCATGTTGCCCACAATCGATCACTTTTGTGTACAGAATGTGGTTAACTAGAATTTTTAGTTTTTAGGGGGAAAAAAAATGAAGCACAAAAATCTACACAATATTCTGGCTTTCTAGCTTAGCTAGAGTTAGGATATCTGCATATTCACTGATCCCTCCCCTTCTGTTGGGCTAAAGGGCCTAACAAACTGTCTTGAAGAGTGTGACAGTAGTTCCAGCTTCTCTATTCTGTGATTAATCTCCTTAAAATTAATTTCTAATAATGTAGGTAACGAGAAATGATTGGCTGCTGAAGAGGAGGGGAAGCCAAACTTTTCTGTCCCTTGTCCGTTGTCAAGAAGTGGTTGTCAGGAGTGCAAATCAAATGGTAGTTTTTTGGAAAGGCAAGGCAAATCTCTATCCTAAAGCAATATGTTTATTATATACATTTGTTATAAATACGTTTATTGTACTTTTAGAAGCATAAACCAACACTTATTAGGCCACCATGAGGACAGAAATGTCTTTCTCAGATAAAAGCACTCCTTTACCTTAAAATGATTTAGTACCATGCTGCAGAGTATGCATGGGCCAAATTTTTCACTTCGTAACTTCCATGGGGATTAAAATTCAGCTTTGAAGAACATACAGCTAGAATCTTTATTTTGCTCAGAACATGGCTGTCTTGGCTGTGCTTGGGGCAACATTAAAAAGATGGTCTGTGGGGATTTTTTGGTAAAGCATCAAACTTTAAGAAGTTGGTTCCACTATGAAACTGCTTTTTAAAAGGTCGTATGTTGTGGTGTGGCAACCTCCCAGACTGAAATAAGATTGGCTCAGTTACTCTGTTCTACTTAGAGTTCATTTAAATATTAAATAACCTGACAGAGTTAGCTTGTCCACAAAGGTACTACAGTGCTTTGCAATAAAGGCTATTCAAATCATCTTCCCATAGAAGGACGTACTGATTTGTGTGTGTATGGTGGGCTTGTTTGTTTTTTATTCTATATAGAACTACTTGAAAAAGTTGTCTTTTCTACACCATCCTGTGAAATAAACGGCACTCAGTCACCATGATCCTATCACTATTGGAAATGAAATAAGAGTATATGTGTTAATGTTGCGTGTTATACTTGTGTTTGATTTCTCATACTGCCTTCACACACACAGAATGGCCCAGGTTGGAATGGACCTCAAGGATCATGAATTTCCAACGCCCCCCACCACAGGCAGGGCCACCAAACTCCACGTTTAATACTAGACCACTTCCTAAAGCATTTTCTGTGGTTGTTTTGTTTTAGTGAAGGGGGAAAAAAAAAAAACAAAAAACAACAAAGCTAAACAAAACAAACAAAAAACCCTACCCACTTCTTTCCTTTTATTTCTGGAAATAGGAAATTGGTTGACATCTTAAGGTATCTTATGTGAAGTCATATAAAGTAAGTAAATATCTTTATATAAGTGAAGTCCCCAACACATCTTTAAATATCTGAGAGGCATTCAGGTCCAGAAGCTTTTTGCCATTGCACTTTATTAAGTGTGCCTCTACCTGTTCATCCTTCTGCTGTTGCACAGACAGCACGCAGCTGGGATAAACACACATACTCGCATATAGCTTTGCTCTCTTATAACCTCATCTGTAATTTTGGTTTCTTAACCCTTGATAGTGCATTGGGTCACTGTCTAAGTTTAAGGAGAAGTCTATCTTAGCATCTGAGAATGTGGAATCCAGGTGTCCTCTGCACTGTGAAGTCCCAGTTATAGCAGGGAAGGAATGGCTCACACCAATGGGAACGTGCTATAATAGCAGCAAGATGTTTCTTATGTATAAAACTCAACTCAATCCTTGAGTTCTCTATATCATTCTCTATAATGATCCATTAAAATGTTTTTGTTTGATTTGCTTGTGATTGTTTTCCCCAGACTCAGTTTAGATCAGATAATACATTTCTAGGAAAGCTGTCATTTAGCTTGTAATTAAAAGCCTTAAAAATACTGTAATAAATAAAAAGAAGGGTAAGTACTTGCACCAAGCCCAATACGCTTCAGTATAAACTTCTGATAGATGGTGCTTAGATTTAGTTGAGCTCTTCCATTTTGGTATTAGCTAGCAGAATAGGATCTGAATGCAATTCCATTTTTCAATTTATTGCCACTGTCTTCCTACTACTCTGCAGACTTTGTTAATCTGTAATGAAGTCATCATTCATTGTAAACACAATCTGGCACGATTAGTGACCAGTCATAGATAGAATCACAGAATCATTAAGGTTGGAAAAGACCTTTAAGATAACCTAGTCCAGCCATCAGCCCATCCTCACCATGTCCACTAAGCATGTTCCTTAGTGCTGCTTCTACACATTTCTTGAGTACTTCCAGGAACAGTGACTCCACTGCTCCTCTGGACAGCCTGTTCCAATGCTTTCTTTCCACTCTTTCTCAGAGGAGTTTGTTCCTAATATTCAACCCAAATCTCCCCTGGCACAATTTGAGGCCACTGCCTCTCATTCTATCACCAGTTACCTGGGAGAAGAAACCGACCCCTTGTGCCACCTCAGCTCTTAGAGATGCTTCCAGTGGTGCACACAGCTGGAGCCAGCCAGAGACAGAATCTGTAAAATTGTTGGAATAACACAGAGGAGGAATGGAGGCAACTTTAAGGAGGTAGGAAGGGCCAGCTAAAGGAGATGACTGAAATGATCTAATGGAATTTAATCAGCTGCAGGTGTGTTGTGTTTTCAAATTTTATTTTATTTTAAATAACTCAGAAGACCAAGAGGAGTTTGTATAACTTCTATAAACTGAGATAAAACAACACATTTTTTTATCCCAGGACATACTGTTAATGTCATTACAGCTTCAATCATACTGACAGTAAGCTGCCAAAAACCATGGATATATGTATGTTTTCAACTATGCTGAAGTGCCAGGTGATACTCCATGAATGGAGTGAAATGTCCACTTTTCCCACCAGTTGTAATCATTTATTCATTTGTGAAGCTAAAATGGATACCACAGGCAGTTGTACTGCTAAGTAAATCAGTCTGTGGATAGAAGTGTGTGCTTGTATGTGTGGTTCTGCATGTATGGTTAAAGGGGCTGAGAGAAAAAGGGGCCAACTTGATAGTAAAGGGGACAGTTTTCTTAAAAATGAGAGGGAGGAAATATTAAAAAAAAACTGTTACAAACTTTTAATAGTACAGTATAAACTATTTCCATGAAGCTTTTTATAGACAAACTGTTTCAAGCTATTAAAAAAACAAAAAAACAAAAAAACAAAACTATGTTCTTTTAACAAGACCAAGATAGTACAAAACATTAAAGGAATTCTTAAAACGTTTTAAAAACTTACCAGTGACCTCAGTATGGTCCTATTTAGGATACTCTGGGGAACATGTGTATGAAATACAATGTGGTTTGAGGTTTTCCAAACAAAACAAACTTAAAAGAGAATGCAATTTTAATAGAAACTATTCAGATTCTATTCAGAATGGCTTTTTGTTTGTTTTCTTTAAAACATCATTCTCCCCTGATTTTGTAACATGATTTCTTTCACAGTCCTTATACAGTGTCATTACTTTAATCAAGTGACTGACTTGTATTGGAAGCAACAAACCCAAAACTATTATAAGCAGTTAGTTAGCTAATGTTTTACCAGACTAAATCAATGCTTGTTGATGAATTTTTCTGTATCAATGCTTCCAGCTGAAAATAAATTTGAAAGCCGTGCAGTGGTGCTCATTTTTTTCCCCCTCTTTCAAAGCAGTTACAGTCATACCACACAAGTTGAGTACATCAGGTGTAAGACATCACCCTGATGCATCACTTCTGAGAAATATGGGGAGGGAAATATCGGAGCTGAAACATCACAGCTGGCCCTGATTTCAGCTCCTGCCAAACACCTGCAGACTCTAAAAGGATACCAAAACAAAACTCCACCCTGTGGCAAGAGGCCATCCCTTAACAACCCTTCCCTGACTTTGCATCACTATAAAAATTAATATAACATTTTTTACAGAAACCTTAGTCTTCCTGTCCCAGAAGACTGTTACAGTTCCTTTAGACGTTTTCCTGAAGGTGCCTGGGGAAAAAAAAAACAACCCAAAATAAAAAAATCTCCCCCAAAACCAGGAAGAAAACCAGAAACCATATATTCAAATATATTGAATTATTGAAAATATTTGATACCTGGGAATTATCTGACGTTTTCAGTTTATTATTTGTGGAAACTCACAAAGCTGGTAGTTTTTTTTTATTAACCTCCAGCTCATCTCTTATTTTGGAAGTTGTTCCACTTGAAAACATCCTGGCAAAAATTTCCTTGCATCTGGTGAAAGCTTCTGCAACTGACTAGTGTTGTGAATGCACAGAACAGAAAAAGATAGTACGGTGTTTTTATTTATTTTTTTAAAGAATCTCATGCGTGGCTGTTGATGTCTTATTTGGTTGTTTTTGTCTTTTTTTTTTTTTTTTTTTCTCCCTACAAATATGGTGATGGATTTTACGGGCCATGTTTTTAATTGTTATTTCTTTGTTGAAAGAGACTTTTATGGCCTGCTGAGCGCTATCCTGATTCAAATGAAATTATATTCATGTCCATAATGCTGCAGATATTTATTTATTTATTTGTTTTTACTAGAAGAGGTTTCTCTAG